TTATGTTTTCGAACACATACATGTCGAAAAATAAGGTTATTTTCGACCTGTATGTGTCGAAAATACATGGCGAGTTTAAAAAAAAAAAAAAATCAAAATCGATGTTTTAGCTCAAAAAATACATGAATACATACTTGAATGGGTTTTCCTTGCTCGTAAACTACCATTCTATTGTCATTTGACGCCATTTTGCAAGTTGTGTAAGGTTTTGATTTCTTTTGTTTTGAGGTTTTTTAGAAGGGTTTTTGGGGAGGAAGAAGAAGGAGGTGGAGGAGATGAGGGGTTTGTGAGTGAGGAGGGAAATGTTTTTTTTAGGTTTTTGATTATTTGGTATTTAAGAAAGAAAAATAGTATTTGTAATATTTTTTTGGTTTTAATTTTCATTAAGGGCATTATAGTAATTTACAATTAATTATTTATTTTTTATTTTTTTGGTATTCAAGTAAGCAAAAGTTAGTATTTGAAATAGTGATCCCCTTATCAGAGTTCTGACGAGGTGGTCACACTTATCAGAAAATAGACAAATGAAACCTCACTTCGCCAGCTCAGCAAAACAATAGCATTAAAGAGTTGTACTATGTGGTACCACCCCATTTTTCTGGCCTTATTGCCACTGAAAGCCTGAGCACTAACCCTTTATTTGATGTAAACATATATAGCAAAGATAAATGCAAAAGAATCTGCCGAAAAGATTCTACTCCTTAAATAAAGATCCAATTTTTATTTTTTTTAAAGGGAGTAAATTTATTGCATCCTTAAAAAAGAACTGCTGCGCAGTTGGTTCTTTTGCTTTATTTTGTATCTGCATATGAAAAGATTGAATCTTTGCTTGTTCAGAAGGTGATTTGAAGATGGGTATACTGATCGACGATGCGGTGATAATTAGGCAGTCGGAGAACGACGAGGAGGCGAGTGTAGTTACTGTGAATTGTCCGGACAAGACTGGTTTGGGCTCTGATCTTTGCCGCATAATCCTATGTTTTGGGCTCACTGTTGTCAGAACTGGTAATTTCTGTGTTTTCACGGGTTTCTGTTACATTCAGATTGAATTTCATTTGTTTGTTTACAGTATTTTCCCCCACTGGGTTCTGAAGGAATTTTGCTGCATGTTAGTTATTCTATGCTCTGTTTTCCTTGGGGGGTGGGTGGGTGGGGGTGGGGTGGTTGGATTAGGGTTTTGACTTTTGACTAGGGCGTTCTGTTGGTGGTTTTTTCAATTTTTGGAATTGAAGGATTTTAATCTGAAAGAGGGGCTTTGAACTAGGGTTTGTTCAAATTGAGGTATACGGCATTGAAATCGATTATAGAATGGATTTTGAATCGAAATTGAGACCTTAGAAGTTGTTTCTCTATATGACAAATGGTGGAATTTCTAATTATTATTTAATTGTTTTTTTGGTCCTTTTTTCGATCAAAATGGTGCGGTTGGAAAGATGTATCCACCGACGGAAAATGGTGCTACATAGTATTTTGGGTACTGGGTAAACCGAACACACGATGGTCTTTGCTGAAACATAGGTTGATGGGGGCTTGTCCATGTTCTACCTTAGCTTCCGGAATTTCTTATTACAGAGCCGAATTGCAAAACCCTAAGCCCTCCGATATCTTCCTCTTGAAGTTCTGTTGCCCCGATCGAGGAGGCCTTTTGCACGGTAAATTCTGTAACAACTTTTTATGTTAATTTAATTTCGAGAAAGGAAAGTCATAAAACTGAAATTTTGAGAATTTTTTTTCTTTGAAGATGTGACGGAGGTTCTTTGCGAGCTCGAGCTAACGATAAAGAGAGTCAAAGTATCGACAACTCCAGACGGGAAAGTCATGGATCTCTTCTTCATAACCGACACAAGGTTTATTTATTTATTTTTTCATTCTTTAAAATGATGGTACTTATTGTGCTGCTCGATGGTGTTATTAGGGAACTTCTGCACACAAAGGAGAGAAAAGAGGAAACATACGACAATTTAAGAGCTGTGCTCGGTGATGATGTCATCAGCTGTGACATAGAGCTCGTGGGCCCCGAAATCACTGCATGTTCTCAAGGAGCTTCGTTTCTTTCCGATGCAATAGCCGAAGAAATGTTCAATGCAGAGAAGCCCGACGAAAACCAAAATGACGAAATCGCCCTTAAATGCCCGTCCATCACAATGGACAACTCGTTGAGCCCTTCTCACACCCTTCTCCAAATTGCTTGCCAGAATCACAAAGGTCTGTTGTACGACGTCATGCGAACTCTGAAGGATTACAACATTCAGATTTCGTATGGGCGATTTACGACCAAAGGGCAAACAGAGTGTGAGATGGACTTATTTATAATGCAAGCAGACGGTAAGAAAATAGTGGACCCCACCAAACAGAGTGCACTCACCTCTCGTCTTCAAATTGAACTGAGTCGACCTGTCAGAGTATCTTTGATCAGCCGAGGCCCAGATACTGAATTACTAGTTGCAAACCCGATCGAGTTATCTGGCAATGGCCGCCCTTTGGTTTTTTACGATATTACCCTCGCTCTCAAATTGCTCAGTACACCAATCTTTTCGGTACTTGTGGACTTAAATTATCTTTTTTTTTTTTTTTTTTTTTTTTTAATGCATAGGGTTTTGATATTACTGATTTTGACAGGCTGAAATCGGGCGGTACATGATTGGAAATCGCGAGTGGGAAGTTTACAGAGTGTTGCTCGATGAATGGGAAGGTAATGGTAGCTCTGTTTCGAAGAGAAAGATCGAGGGGACTGTTTGGAAGATGCTGATGAATCGGAAGTAGTAGTTTTGTTCGAATAATCGATGCTAAATGTATATATTTTGATATGCGTGTATGTACATGATAGTAACTTAGTTTTCGTTGCATTTTTTTCAGCCTTGTATTAGAATGACAGTGTAAGGAGGTTGTAAAAAAGTGTTAGTCTTGAAATTGCAGTGAAGCAAAAATACAGAGCCATTGGCAAGAAAAATCGAGTATGTATATAAAAATGGAATCTTTTTTTGAGTTCGTTTTGCGTAAAAGACGTAGTAGTTTAGTTACAATTTCCAGTAGATTCGGAGTTTGTGTAAGATCCCAGAAACGACTGCCCAGAATGTGATTTCTGCGAATATTACGTATAGCAGAGTTCCCACTTTCTCGGATTTCCAGACGTCGAAGAAGACGTGCTGTTGAATCCAGTTCACCTGAAATGTATTGTGGAGAAATTTGAGCATGTGGGAATAATCTGATTTCTTTTGTAGTGGATGTATATGTATATGTATGTATGTATATGTACCAGATTGTTGTCTGGATTCTTGAAATACCAGCCGTTGATGAATCCTGCAAATATTCCCTGAGCGGCCATTACGAAAACCAGCATCGCATTCATCCCTATCCATTCCAAGAACAAGAAGGGCTTCCTCATTCCCCATACATCAATCTGCACCATGTATGTATCTCAAGGTAAGTATATGTGTGTGTGTGTGTGTGTGTGAGAGGGAGAGAGAGAGAGAGATGTGTGTGTGTGTGTGTTACCAATAGGTAGAAGAGAGAGAAAACAATGCCAGCTGCACCAGCAGTGAAACAAACATAGCTGAAACTGTAGAGCTGCTTGTTGATGGGAATAGCTGTAAATAACTATGCTTATTATTAAGTGATTATTTCAACCGAAAAAAAAAGTTTAAATAAAGAAACTCGACACACCGTCCGTAAAATGAAGAATTACGGCAACAATTAGCAAAACAAGCGCCATCGACACCCACTGCTTAAGCCTTTCTGCATGTCCCTGCATAAAAGCAAGCAGACATTTTTTCGTCGTAAAAACCATGCAAAAATCGATCTTTAAATACGAACACTTCAAATTTATGATTGTACTGAGGAATTCTCACCTTGAAATGAATCAACACATGCCCATAGTGAATCCCGATCGTACCCGAAATAATCGCCGAAATTGAGCTGGAGGAGACAAAATTCCAAACCATGTTTAAGGTTTGTTGCTCAAAATCAAGATTTCACAAAAAAAAAAAAAAAAAAAAACCTCAACAGCCCTTCTGGTTCGAACGGAGCGCGACACCATGTAGGTGCATCCTTGCGAAACGGACCAGAATCCGGAGAACTAAAAGTGCAAGCCTGCGAAATCGTCCGGAAAAAAAAAAAAGAATATCATGAGAAAATGAAAAGATCCAACTTCCATTTTCACACACACACAAACATGGATGTGTGTGTTTTTTGATAGTAACATGTAAAAGAATTGACCTTTAATCTTGACCAAACAGGCTGATTGTAAAGATGATTAATACCCCAGGCCTGTCTATCCACATATCCAACGGCATTGCATGCCGGTCCTAAATGCCCTCTCATCCCACATATTACGGTAAATTTTTCGAGTTTGTCGCTGTCGTCCTTCGCCACAAAACTCCAGTCGGGAACATATAATGAAAATGTCGTCACCATGTATATTACAAACGCTACAAACCCGCCGACCCTGAAAAAAAAAATAGACACAATACAATTTTTAATACAAGACTAGTTATATGTAAATTGTAATAGGAAAAAAAAAAAGCTTGCAAAAGGGACTTACCATTGCCACTTATAGGCGGTGAAAATCGAGAAGTGTCCAGGATCGAGACTCGTTGGCCGGAGCTTGGTTGTCGCGATTTCGATTAAAGCCACAATAAAGTATACCAAAGCTATTCTCTGTAATGAAATACAAACAAGAAATTATAATTCACGCAGAAAAAAATACTTATTTCTCGTATTTTTGCAAAAATATTCGAAAAGCTGACCTGGAGAATGCCGCACCATCGGATTAGCTTCATGTCGACTCCGTAAGCTAAGTCGTACGGTGCATGAGAATACCCTCCTTGCAAAAGAATTCCCCAGAAAAGTAGCTTCAGTGTTCGCAAAATCACCTTTCTAACCGCATAACTAACCTTCGGAATCCGCTGCAAAAATAACGTTCGAATTCGATTTCAACACACTTTTTAATCCAACTTCAATTAGAAAAAAAAAAAATTAATACATATAATAATATTATAAATATAAACCTTAAGGGCAAGAGCAATGGCGACTCCAACGATGAATAGGAAAAACGGCATAACAAAATCGGCCAATGTGCATCCGTTCCACGGCGAATGATCGATTCGCGAATACGCCCCTCCAGCATCGTCCACAAGCACCATCAACTACCAAATTAAAAATAAATAAAAATTCAACTCGATATTATTACATTACTAGAAAAAAAATATAATGTAACATTCGAAAACGCAATAATTTATACTTATTTATTTTCCAAATTACCACTATTGTGAGTCCTCTAAAGGCATCCAAAGTCGCAACTCTCTTCGCCTTTTGCTTTACTAGTGGCGGCTCCTCCTCTCTCTTTTCCTCCGCCACCGGTTCCGATTTCGTCACGCTCTTATTATGCTCGTTATTCTCGTTGCTAATATCGTCGTCATTCTTCTTCGCCGCATGAAGACCTTCTTCCAATTTCCTTGGATCCTCCATTAAAATTATGATATGGATGTATTTTGTTGAAGTGATGATATATATGTATATATATAGTAGAGGGAAATAGGAAAATGACAATACTAAATTCAGAAGCCGGCCATAAGATAAGATGACGTACAAAAGGGGGAGACAGTTAAATTTGTATACGAGGACAAATGATTACAAGACTGATGACGTGTACAAGGTTTTGTGGGCCCTGGTTTTTATTTATATTACATCATCATCAATTCTGTTATTTTACTGGTCATGGAAAAAAAATTATAAATTATTTATATATAGGCTAATTAACACCTTGTTAGTTGTTACATCTGTCTGCATTAGCACATATTAAGGGTGTATTAGACAATTTTGATGTAATTTCGTGTACGGGCAGACATTAATTAGTTGTCATTATGAAATCTTAAGCTGCAGTTCTTGTCTAATTATTTCATTAATAATATTGGAATTTTAGATAGCCGGCAGCTTGTTGCAGAAATAGCAGCAGCTGTTTAGTAGTTGTGAATTCTACACATATTAATAAAAAAATAAATTGGACTGAATCTAAACGGCATACCCAATCCTTATTTTTGGATATGCCGTTTTCCTATGTCCGCTTCCCGTTTCCCGTATCACTGTTTCCGTGTGCGTGTGACATAGGTATCAAGTGAAAAAAGACTGTATATTCAGTTTGCTAATTCTTTTCGCATCATAAGTCAAAATTATGTGGGAATATGTGATGTTATAAGATTTCTACAGGAATAAGATTATAAGAATATTGAAGGTCAAAAACAAAAAGTTAGAAGCTGGAGTTTTATGCATGTTCTTGTCTCAATTCCTGGCAAAGATTCTGCATTTATAAAAATAAAATAATTAACATCTTTTCTTTTTTAATATAATTTAAAAATATGGATACTATAAAGTCAGATGCTAGGAGCCAAGTGCAAAATGTTTGAAGTATGTTATTCGGTTCTATTTATTTTATTTGGATTTTTTTTTAAGACTATATTTATTTAACACAGTCTGTGTTCTTTTTTTGAAACTAATATAGACAAAATAATATTGACAACATATTTTTTTGAAACTAATGTAGACATTTTACTTTGTAATGATTACATAATAAAACAATAAGGATTTTTCTTTTAATTTTTATAATCATTAAATATAATATAATAATATTGACAAAATATATTCGTACTGTTGATTTATACGCCTATATAAATCAATCTTAATAGGATTTATGTTTTTTTTCAGGCACATGCTTTCACCAGAAACATGTCGGTAGGGGCTAAGATATAACTGGATGACTATACGGTACAATCGGTTATTTCTATGATACATCCGATAGAAAACTCGAAACATTTATTGAACTTGGTATTTATTTTGCAATTTATTTATATCTTCAACTTGCGTAGCTGAGAGGCATCAAATTCTAATCATTATCAAAACCAATAAACTGCCAAATAAACATTTAATGTGATGGGGTGGGGGTGAGTGTTTCAAAAACGACCCCCAATTTTGACTTTGGAGGTTCCAACTAACATTAAATGCACTTCGCCCCCCCTATAATGTTTTCAGATTCACACTTTCCCCCTTAGAAATTGAAAAAACACCACAAACCCCCTTTAAAATATTATTTCAGTTGTACCTTTTTGCCAAAATACATTTTACGGTGGACAAATTGCAAGAAAAGAACAATTTAAAAGAGCAAATAAAAAATTTCAGCGCGTTGTGATGTGTAACAAAAACGCTCACTTTCGATGAAAAACCCATCAAAATGTGGATACCGGAGCAACTTGCAACCAAAATAACTTTTCGACCCACTTTTTTTAAATTTGAAGGGAGGAAAGTGCAAAAATTGAAAATTTTAAAGGGGTGGAATACAATTTATCATTTTAATAGTTCGATGAAGATCGAAAAGTGGGCCGGATATTGGTGAATGCGTTTGGACCACTAATCCCACTTAATGAATTACTAATCAAACGTGGGCCGAACGCGCCTTTTATTTTGTGGCTACAAAAAGAGTCCGTCTGTTTTAATTGTTTCAACTTTCAATTGCCTAATTGGAATTCATTTTCTGTCTTTTCAATTTTGTAAAATAAAAATAATTATCAATGAATATTACATTTTTATTTTGTAAATAAGTTCTATTAATTATTGTTTTGTTTATGAGAATCAAATGTTTGAAATTAGTTATAATTTATAAAACTCCTTCGAAAGCCATGCATTATTTTATGAACTTTTAATTAAGTACTGAATAATTAGGAACGAATTGATTAAAAGAAATAGGATTTACGAAAAATAGGGAAATATAATATTATAAAATATTCGATTATAAATAAATAGGAACAATTAAGTACATTTAATTTGCAGCTTGAAATTGTCTTCTTCCACTCAAGTAGTACTGCACTCTCACGATTCGTCACTCCCAAAAAAAAAAAAAAAATCAAAACCCAACTTCTGGCGGACGATGGCCGCGGCGGAGCTCAGCCGCAGAGGCGGCGGAATAACAAGGCTCGGGCTGCAGGTAGTTACCGGCAGGTGGTTCATGGTGTTCGCCTGCCTACTAATAATGTCAATGTCCGGCGCCACCTACATATTCGGCATCTACTCCAACGACATCAAAACCTCGTTGGGCTACGACCAGACAACCCTAAACCTAATCGGATTCTTCAAGGACCTCGGCGGCAACATCGGAATCGTCTCCGGCGTAATCAACGAGGTCACGCCGCCGTGGGTCGTCCTCGCCATCGGCGTCGCCATGAACTTCACCGGCTACTTCCTCATCTGGCTCGCCGTCACCGGCCGCACCCCCAAGCCGCACGTGTGGCAGATGTGCCTCTACATTTGCGTCGGCGCCAACTCCCAGACCTTCTCCAACACCGGCGCGTTAGTCACGTGCGTCAAGAATTTCCCCGAGAGCAGGGGCATCGTCATCGGACTCCTAAAAGGCTTCACCGGATTAAGCGGCGCCATCATCACGCAGCTATTCCGCGCGTTTTACGGCCACAACTCGAAGGCGCTGATTTTCCTCATCGCCTGGCTGCCGGCGGCGGTCAACTCCGTCTTCCTCAGAACCGTTCGTCTGATGAAAGCTTCTTCCAATCAGCAAAAGAACGAGATCAGAATCTTCTACAACCTTCTCTACGCATCTCTCTTCTTAGCCGGGTTTCTAATGATTCTAATCATCCTCCAAAACGGCGTCGTTTTCAGCAGAGCAGAGTACGCCGGAAGTACCGCCGTCGTCCTCCTCCTCCTTTTCTCCCCACTAGCCATCGTCTTCAGAGAAGAATACAATACTTTGACGAACAATAAAGTAATAACTACCATAGAAAACCCAACACCGGAGACCGAAGCGCCGCCGCCGCCGCCTGCGGCGGCGGCAGCGGCGGCGGTGCCGTGGTGGAAGGACGTGTTCACACCGCCGGAAAGAGGGGAGGACTACAACATACTGCAGGCGGTTTTCAGCATAGATATGATCATACTTTTCACCGCGATAACGTTCGGGATCGGCGGAACCCTAACCGCCATTGACAACTTGGGGCAGATCGGAAAAGCTTTGGGGTACCCGGCAAAGAGCATCACCACCTTCGTGTCACTGGTCAGCATATGGAACTACCTCGGCCGAGTCACGTCGGGTTTCGCGTCGGAGATTTTCTTGGCCAAGTACAAGTTCCCCCGGCCGTTGATGCTGAGTTTGGTGCTTCTTCTCTCTTGCTCCGGCCATCTTCTGATCGCGTTCGGGGTGAAGGACTCGCTGTACGTTGCTTCCGTGATTATGGGGTTCTGCTTCGGAGCGCAGTGGCCGTTGATTTTCGCGATTATTTCGGAAATTTTCGGGCTGAAATACTATTCCACTTTGTACACTTTGGGCGGCGGAGCAAGCCCGCTGGGCGCTTATATATTGAATGTTAGAATAGCTGGATATTTGTACGACAGAGAAGCGACGAAGCAGCTGGCGGCGAAAGGGCTAGTGAGAAGGAAAGGGGAGGATTTGAGTTGCTCCGGGGTGGAGTGCTACAAGGTGGCGTTTCTTATAATCACCGCCGCCACACTCGTCGGATGCGCTGTTTCTTCGGTTTTGGTGGTCAGAACGAGGAAGTTTTACAGAGGGGATATATATAAGAAGTTCAGAGAGGAAAGTGTTGCAGAGTAGGTTTTCTTGATAATATATATGCATGATTATTATGATTTGGTTTCTCTATTAGCTTATAGTAAATAGTACTATAAATTGTGTATGTATCATGGTCATGGATATATATAATAAATGCATGGTAAATTACGGTCACACCTCCGAGATAAAGTCAAATTATGGAACCTCTCGTATTTGGGTAATTATAATAATTCCAGTGTCAAATTTAGTGAAATCTTAGAAATTATGTGGAATATTCTCCAGTTTATACTTGTTTTATCCCATTCGAGCTCCATATTTTGAAATAAGATGCGTCTTTCGGCTTGTAAACATTAGATTGTGGTGCATAAAAAACTACAATTTTGCACAAAACGAGTACAAAGTAGAGACATTCAAGGGAATCTAGACAGTTCTGTTGAATTTGGCACCATAAAAATGGATGTGTAAGAAGATTAATAATTGAGGGCTGGTTATAATTACCCAATCATAATAAGTTTTTTTCATAATTTGACCTTACTTCAGATATAATCTTACTTTGCCCAATAATAAATTGTATACATTTGAAGTGTATTTAAAATTGTGGTCCACTTTCAAGAATATAATAAAATGGTAACACGTTTCTGATTAAAAAAAAGGAATTATATGTACTAAAGCATAAATAGTTTGATAAGCATACAATTATAAAAAAATAAAAAAACACATAAAGAAGTAAAACTAGGTGGAAGAGGATGGAGTGAACCACAATGGTGGCGGATCAATCCTCTGAATGCTTTGGATATCACAAGGATAGTAGCACGGGTAGAATTTCTTGTCTCGGTAATTAAAGATGCCGAGATCGTGGCCACCGTACGTTGTAATATCTCGATTCCAAGGCGTCGGACAGAGTGCATCCATGTCGGTGAAATAGATCGAATCGGGCTCCACATTATGCTTGACCAATTCGTCGTCTCCTTCAATTACGAACCCATGCCCCGTCCCAATGAAGAACGCCATACCATCCAACGTACCGTCCATGTACCTCAGCTGATCTCTCTCTCCCTCTTTCTCAACAACCAACTCATGGACATCAAAATCAACGGTCTTGTACGGAAAACTGTCGTCGTATTCCTCAACAGAGGAACCGTCGGGCCTGATATGAATGACCGCATAGCGCCGAACGAGAAAAATCCGGTTCGACCGCTCTGCGAACACAATGTATTTCCACAAGTCGATTGGCTCCTTTTCGGCCACCTCGTACACCTTATCGCAGTCCATTTCACGGTCAACCTTGTCCCAGTTCATTTTAGGAGAGTGAGGGTCCACAAGATCCCAGCTCTCAAAGTGGCCCCACGTGGTCGCGCAAAGCAGTCGGTTACGTCTGGTTGAATACACAAAGTCCACGTAACCCCTTGCGATCCTTCGATCAATGGGATCGTCCTTGTGATAGAGGGAACCGATCGGAGTCCACTCTTCGTCGTCGCTGCGGCCCGGGCAGCAAAAGGCAAGCCTCAATTCCGGTCCGAAAGACATGATCGCGCGACAGGCTTCTCGGTTGTTGTCGGGAGAGGACGAAAGGATGATCTTCGTCGGCGTACCCCAACCTCGTCTCAGTTTGTCTTCTGTTAAAGGAAGTGTTTCAACAGGTGGAAGTTTCACCAAGGATTGTTCGTGATTAGAGAGGGGATTAGAGAGAAACAGGTCAAAGATGGGTGGGCCCGGGTTCATGTTCTCCTTGTAAAAAGCTAGCCAGCCATGGGAAGATCCAACCAGCACACCATCTTCTTCCTCTCTTTTTTTGCCGACACTTACAACTTGTTTGTCGGCCAGGTTGTAGAACTTGTACGAATCTTTCTTGCTGCCGTCAATCATCAGCCATGGCGGCGCAGCCGCAGATGATGATGATGATATTCGTCGAGCGCCGCTGCAAATACCAGCTGGGGAAATCCAATTACAACAAGATCTGACGGCTGCAGGATAAATCAAGCGGCGGAGGAGTATGAACGATGCCATTAGTTCCCTGTGCTGAATGACTTTGACCGCACGTTACCGGAAAATAAAAATAAGAAGAAAGAGAAACAGAAGAGTTAGGGTTTGATAATGTTTACATACAGTGAGGTAAAGGCCGGGTAAAATTTCATTTTAGTCCCTGAGCTTTGGAGTCAAAATCATATTCATCCTACAAGGATCATGTGCACAAAGTTCAGACCATAGGGGTTAAAGTGCTATTTATGCAAAAAAAAAAAAAAAAATTAAAATTAAAAGGGTAAATTACAACAACCTCCCTAAGGTATAGTCAAATTACGAAAATCCCCCTCCTGTTTGGGTAATTACAACCGCCCCTCAACTATAAAATTTAGTGGAATCTTCTAGATTATATGGAATATTATCACTTTTGTACCCGTTTTATCTCATTCGAACTGCACATTTTGAAGCAAGATAATCATAATATGTGTTTTTTGGCTTGTATATATCAGATTGTGATGCATTAAAAACTATATTTTTACACAAAATGAGTACAAACTAGAGCACAGCCCACGAAATCCAGATGCTATGTTGAATTTGACATCATAAGGGTGGAGGTGTAAGAAAAAAATCATAGTTGAAATACAAAAATATATATGGATTACAATGCTTCTGCAGAGAAGCAGAAGATAATAATATTAAACAAGCGCCGTGAAAAACTCGTGTGCGTGTTGTGTTGCATGAAACTGAATCACCACAAATCGTAGTTCTATGCCATCGTTTTCGATCCTCAAAGGTCGGTAAAGCTTCTTTTAGTTTGGTTACTTTGTGCAACTTTTTTAATCATTTTTTTTATTGTTTAATATCAAGTGCCTGTATTTTTCTTTCTCCGAGTAAACAATGGTGATAGACGAGGAGTTACTTAACGACCTTTGTACATTTTGCTGAGGATCGAGGACACTATTTTTCATTTTTTCTCGAAGAATGATTTGAGAACACTGGCAAAATTTATTGGATTCGTCTGTAAATCTTTTCAATCTGCAGGAGAGCAAACTTGTGGTCAACCTTGCCCGTGCTCTAGAACAGGAAGGAATCAGTGCGTTTCGCTTCGATTTTCCTGGAAACTGGTAAAGTCTTGAAACTAATTAATTACTTGTTTTTTTTTTTTTTTTAATTATTTGTTTCATGTTTTATGGTTGATTCTCAGGGAAAGCGAAGGGTCGTTTCGATATGGTAACTACTCTAGCGAGGTTGAAGACTTGAGAGCTGTGGTCGAATACTTCACCGGGATATGGTAGTTATGGTAACTACTCTAGTGATTATTTACGAGCAAAAATCTCTTGCTGTATTTTCACTCGACGGATTATGTTAATTGCACGAGAGCCTCCTTTTACTAAATAAAAAAATCGAGTGTTGGTCTGTTTTTCGTAGGTGGTGTTCATTATAGAGTCACAGAGGAGAGCATGATGGAGAGACTCAATACAAACATGCACGAGGCATGCCTTTCAGTTGACCCGAAATGCAGGTATGTTTGACCTCTAACAAAGTGAGATGAAAAAAGAGAGAAAAGAAAGGGGTCTCGTTAAGTTTTGAAGGCGTGTATATATACATACAGGGTATTGACAGTTCATGGATCGGACGATGAAGATATCTCAGTCGAAGACGCTGAGCTGGGGTGGAAATTATTCAAGGGGCCGATCGTCGTTTTTCTAAACATCAAGATGAATTACCTGCACCTGTTCTCAAATTCATTAAGGAATGTCTTTAATCTTTGTCGATAATGTCTGAAAATTTTACCTTCGATTATGAACAGAATGTAAGGGAATCAGCCTCAAGAAGATTTTCTTTTTCTTTTTCTTTTTTCGTTAGGATATGGTAGGTTTTCACCTTCGATAAAGGTAAATACAATATATATCTTTTCGATAAATTATTCTAAAATTAGAAATCACAAAAAAAATAACACGATGAGAACTGTTCACATGACGACTTCAGAAATTTCAATAATAACAGGAACAGAGAATTTCATATCTGTTAGTAACTATGATGCAGAATTAATCCGCGAACCCGAACTTTCCGCCCCGTTTTTATTTGCAGCCATCATATCTTCCTATAATTTATTCACAAAAATATACAAATCATTATATTTAATTATCGTAGGGGTCATGAAATTTAACTTTGCTGCTGTATAAAAACCAAATCATACCAGCTCTTGCTTCAGCTTCTCGAATTTTTCCTCTAGTTCCCAAACATGGTGCTTCAGCGCCTATAAATATATTATCCACGAATTTTGCATCAACGAATTATCCATACATATCTTTACGCCAATTTCCACAAAATAAATAAATAAATAATTTTTTTTTACCTCACGTCGCTGAAGTTCAATCGAACGAGCTAAAGCCTGTCTTTTAGTTAAAAGATTTCTCGGTCTAAATGCAAGAGGGCTTTGGTAATTCTTTCCACGATAAACTATTATAACATATCCTTTAAAAGTTTTATCGACCGAGACCAATACACCACCACTTTCTGCCTCGAGAGAAACCGCAATATGCTTCACTTGTGGAAATGTTTTTCTTTGTACCATAATTTTCACCAGCTCTCTGTACTTCCAGTGCAAGTGCATATTTTCGATAGTGCCGTCGAAAATCTCTCGTCTCCCTAAGAGAGAGAAAGAAGCAAGAAATGAGAACACATATAATTATAATGAGGCAGAAAAAAAAACATAGGATTGTGGAAATGTTTTTTTTTTCCCCTTACCTAGAAGAAGATAAGGTTTCATGCTCAAACCAATCCGACGAAACAAAAATCTCTCCTCATCGGTTAATGTTTCGAGATCGGTAGGTAGATCTCCCGGTTCTTGATTTTCCAGAACTTTCTGCAAGGACTTCTCAGCCTTTCTCATCTTCTCCTTTGCCTGCACATATATGTAACAATAGTAATTAATGCCACCAAAACAAAAACCTAGAGTTTACTGCACTCAACACCTCTGTGTTAATATAATTGCTAAAAGAGACCCCGCTTTATTAATATTAGCAAAACCCCCCTATAATGCAGTTTCTAGCAGTCTCCTAAATGGTGAGATTTAGAGGGGGGTTTCATTAATTTTAATATACGAGGACTTTTTTAGCAATTAGAGTACACACAGGGGTGGTGAATGCAATATAACCCAAAAAACATAATTAAACCAGCCAATTTTCTTAAATGTAACAACAAACATACAAGAGCAAGCTTCTTCTGCAGAGAGTTGACCAAAAACGCGTGTCGGTCAACGGCATTCTCTCTCATCATCTTCTCCATATCTGCACCGTTGGATTGGTTTCCCCATCGTGTGGTTGCTGCAATAGTTTCAGCAAGGGTACCTGCAACTAATAACGGCTTATGCTTCTTCGATAATGCTTTCAATTTTGGTTCGATTAGTGATGCAGCTCTTTGACGAGCTTTCTCTTCGTGATCTTGTTGGAGGGTTATGGAGTTTTCTTTTTCTGTTAGTGCGCTCGAAATACCGGGGGGTAAAAAGTCATTTCCCCTGTAGAAGACTATGAACTCCTTGTTCCTCGAAACTAGCGTTCCTCCGGTTAATCTCTGCATGAACTCACTTGTCATTCTAAAATAATTTTATTTTATTTAACATTGGAAATATTATAAGTGTAATTTCGGAAAACAAAATGGAATTTTGGGAAATTAACATTGTACACGAAATCGGAATCTAATCCAATTGTGTTAGAAAAAAAACGGAAATTGGAACTTTCGGAATTCGGAAGGAAAAATATTGTTCGAAAATCATATATATTCAGATCGATTTTTTTTTGGAATTTACGGAAATATTTTCGGATATTTCACCTTGAGTTCTTCGGCCATTCTTTCGTTGGAAGTATTCAAAACACCACGCTTGATAGCTATTTTCGCAAGCGAACTCTTCTCCCATAATTTCACCATAGCCAAAGCAAGACCTTGCAGCTCTCTGTTTCTTCCTATATTAAATAACCGATATAAATCCATTACTAAAAATAAATAAGTAAATAAAAATATTCGAACGAATTCCACAAGAATAAGATAACAAATACTCATTCGTACATACAAACTTACCAAGGACGAAATGGGGAGGCATGGTTCTTGCAGTCCTACGTATATAAGTCATTTGTTTGTCTCTCAAAGGTTGTCTAATACCGTGTGGCAGAAGCCTATACGGAGTCTTGTAACCAGGTACAACAGGCGGAAGCAAATCGGCATCAACGGGAAGCGGGTCCCGCCCTGACCAGTCAATGAACCTCGGACCAAGCTCGTCCAACAGAAGGTTCATCTCGCTCAAATCCATTTGTTCTTCTTCAGACAGGTTGTTGAAATAATCCGAATCGAATGTTCCGGATGATTCTCCGGGCCGTTTTTTAACTTTGATTCTTTGAGGAGAATCTTCTTTCGAAGATTCTAATTCTTCAGCATCATCTTCAACATGCTTGGTATATGATTTTACACAATCGAGATTGTATGTCATTCCTCTGTACAGCACTAACGAACTTCCCGATCTCCATATAACCAAACCACCAGTTCTACGCTGACATGTAACACCAAATTCAGCGAAACAATATAAAAAAAAACCTAGTAACTGAAAAACCCTTTGGCTGCGTTTGAATCGAAGATTTGAAACCAACCAAAATTGCTCTTAAAAGAACAAAAAATGACTCGAACCAAACAAAGCAACAAAGCTCAATCGATTTGTTATTGTGGATTTGAAATTCCTCCCTCAAATCCTTCCATCTAAACACACCCTTAAAAGATCATAAGCAAAAAGGTTTTTTTTTTTCCTATCGACAAATGAAATGTACTAATCAACGATCAATTACGCCAAAAAAAAAAAAAAAAACCGGATAACTTATAAACAATAGCGAAAACACTAACCTCAAGAATTTCGTGTGTTCTCTTCATGTTCTTGGAAGGGGGGCCCAAGAATTTCAATTTCACGACCTCTTCGTTTTTCCACTTGTCATGGATAGAATCAACCAATGCCTGTGTTACACCAGCTGCCCCGACTTTTATTCTTTCCACCATTCTTAAAGATACGTTCCTCAGCCTCTTTAGCTCATGCTCGGGTACTAATCCCTCCGCTAACGATGTACTCGTCTTCCTTAATTTATCCTTCTTCACAAACTCCTCATCGTTTTTTCTCTCCCATGGCAATCTGTTTAAACCATCTCCATTAACAGAAGGCTTTATACGGGTGGCGGTTCGATCAGTAGTTGCCGAATTCTCCACTACAGCATTTTTCTCCGTCAACCGAATTGGGGTTTCATCAAATTCGATGAATTTTTCATCACTTTTGCCATATTCTGCCAATACACGAACAGGACTGACTAAAAATTCCTTTTCTGTACGAACATTTTCTTGATTCTTCGTCGAACCCTCGGAAACAGGCAATTCTCGTCTCGATTCATTTCCGTGAACCCATGGAGCTAAAATTGACTTGGGTTTTTTCACATGAGTAACAACAACCCGCTCGCTAACAGAAACACTTACTTCAATTTCCTTTGCAGAAGAAACATTCTGCGAAAACGGCGTCGTTTGAGCTCGAAATTCTTCTTGTTCTTCTTGCCAAGGGAAATTTTCCCTGAGAGAAGGGGTTTTGAGGGACCATTTGTTCTGAATTTGTTCGACGAAACTTGGTCTGGGTTTTCTCTTCTTCTTCACCAGAGTAATCGTGTGTAGGGTTTCATTGTCGAGCTGAACGGTTTGCTGACAGCAGTTGATGATTTTTCGAGAATTTAAGGAACGGGTTCGCGGATTGAATTTAAGGAAGAAGAAAGATTGTGATGGGTAAGTGTTCGATGAAGAAGATAAGAAGTTTGAAGGTACTGATAACAGTACAACCATGGTGGATTGGGGTTTTAGAGTTTTGATGATACCATGGCGCAAAAGATCAGAGAGGAATTACAGTGAAAAATAATCCATATGGGATTTTGAAATTAAATACTTAGTCCTTTTACTTCTTGTTTTATTCAATTAAGCCATGAATATTTGTCTTATTACTAATATAGTCCTTTTACTTATTGTTTTATTCAATTAAGCCATTTGTCTTATTACTAATACAGTCCTTTTACTTCTTGTTTTATTTTATTAGCCACTAAATTTGTCTTATTACCAATATAGTCCTTTTACTTCTTATTTTATTCAATTAAGCCACTAAATTTTGCCTTATTACTAATATAGTCCTTTTACTTATTGTATTATTCTATTAAGCCACTAAATTTTGTCTTATTACTACTATAGTCCTTCTACTTCTTGTTTTATTCTATTAAGTCCCTTATAAATACTGAATTGCACAAGGCCCTCCAATGTTAAGTAAATAGATCATCTGCCCTCCTTTCTTTGAGTTGGTTTATTTTGAAAAATAATAATAACACAATACATTTATACTAGAAACCAATATTAATTTGCCATTATGAAACAAAAGAAAACAATTACTATAAAATAAAAAACAAAAATAAAATTGCAGAGAAATACAATTCAGACCGAATTGAAAATTCGTTGGCCCGGCGATAGTATCATTTTCGGATCAAACATTGCTTTCCTTTTTTGAATAATGTTCCATTTCGATCCATAATGTTTTATCCAATCTTGCTTGGATTGATAATTAGGAAGATACTGCTTCACTTCAATCCCGGCCTTTTCGCAAAATTCCAAAATCTGACCGTTAAATTTATCGATAGTCTGATATTCGTTGGCCCCGCTCGTGTGCAGAAGCGCAAGTGTGTAGAACACGTCTTCATCTGGTATTACTGCAGACATTCTATCATCCCATCTGCAATAGTATTTTAATGAATGTTGTAATATTAACACAAGAAAAAAACAAAAAATAAAAAGATAAAAAAAAATTGAAATATAGTACTTGTTTCGATTAAGTGGATAGAAAATGAATAGGCCAAAGGGCTCGTTAAACTCGGGAATAATGGTGGTGAAAACTCCGGAATTGAAATCGGATATTCGCGATCTCGGTATGAAGAGATTGAGCCATGGATGAGATTCCGTTAGCGGCAACTTCTCGTTGTCTAAGTTCCCGACTCTATTAAGAAAATCGAAAAATGCGACATCTGTACTGAAAATGAATCCAGGAATGAAATTCAATTCCTTTAGCAACTTCTCAAACTCCTGAAAATACCAAAAAAATTTAAGACATGAACATATTAAATATATATATATAAATGTTAATAAAATTAAAAATTCAAAGAATTATATAAATATTACTATTTTTATAAGTACCTGGTCAATAGTTTGAGCAGTTTGATTATCGTAATATTTGACCAATTCTATAGCGTAGAGGAGACCATTGTTCTTCTTGAACGATGAAACGACGTCGGATTGGTTCGATGGAGACGAGAAAGAAGATCTCCAATCATTTGTTGTGTTCTCATTGGTGACTAGGAATCCCTCCACATAGTTTGGAGCTTCGATTGAGATTAGGTGCTCTTGGTCTTTTGTCAACGTGCCAAAATCACTATACAACAATCTCACCCATTTTACCTATTTTTATTTATTTATACATATGGAAATCAAATTATTAATTAACCAAATCAATAGGTTATTTCACAAAATATGATTGATTTGATGCTATATTGGGTGAATTTCACGAATCTTGTTATATAATATTTATCGATAAGATTATTACATTTTTGGCACACACGTGTAGATCTATAATGCAAATTAATATTGATCGATTGATGTATTTAACCAGATATAGTATCTAAAAAAATCTGATGTATATATATCGACGAAATTAATCTTGATGAAAAAAATTGTTATATATGTATACTTACTCTTGTTGGGGCTTTATCAAGGACAATTCTTGCTCGTGTAATGATTCCGAATTGTCCTAAACCACCTAAAACTCCGAAAAATAGCTCCGGGTTTTCATTCTTGGAGCATGTCACAAATTCCCCTTTCCCTATTCAAAAGGAACCAAATATTAATTATTGAAAATTTTATATAATTTTCAAAGAAAAAAATAAATTAAAATGGTGTTAAATTATGTATACTACCTGTAATAACATCAAGTTCAAGAACATTGTTGATTTGAGGGCCATGTAGAAATGCTTGTCCACTAATCCCAGCATTAGACAAAGTCCCTCCGACACTCAAGTACAGATAATCAGTCCAAGAAACGGGCGCAAGCCCCTGTTCAAGAGTGGCCCGTAACACGTCGACCCACAACTGATCGCCCCCCACATCCGCATACCCCTGATCCGAACAAACACTAATGCCACTCCCGTTTTGGCTATTTCCCAAAGAAGTCATCTCCACCACCACGCCGCCACGTGTCATGGCCTGCCCCCTCACGGAATGGCCGCGGCCCTTGGCGGCAACGGTGAACGGAGGGGAACGGGCGTTCGATGATTTGACGAGATCGATGATGTCATTGACCGATGAAGGGTAGAGAACCGAAGAAGGGATTTCGTGTACGATGTTTCCGTAGTCGTTGGATGCTCTTACGATGGCTTCTGAATCGTTTCGAAGCGTCTTTTGTGACAGTGTTTGATTTGCTTCGATGCATATTATTACGAAGAAGACGAAGAAAAATAATAACACTGAGATTGTATGTGAAGAGATTGCCATTTTATGAAGAAGGTGTATATATAATATATATTTGATTGTATGTGTACATATATAGGGTTTATATATATATAGTGATGGATGAACATGAAAATGGAAGAAAGTCACACGTTTATGTGTGAACATGCGTACATATTATGTATATACATTACTCCTTGATTCAACGAATTAACCAAATCACTAATGTAATTAATTAGATCTTATCACCGATAATCAATGACCAAAATCTCTGGTTATTTTCACATGATATTTTTTTTAATAATTTTCTTGCAGATTTTAATTTAATTATTTCCTTATAATTTCGTATTGTTTGCTTTCATGATTTTACCGTAATTTTTTCTTCTACTTCTTTTCAGTTGAGATATATATAGAAATCAATGATAACGTAAAGTAATTTATTTTCTTCTTTAAGTGCTTTAAAACAAAATAGGTATTCATCAACTCTAGTACATTAATTGTTATTCAATTACCAGTTTCATTTTATCATTATTATCATATTTGCTTTTAATTACAAAACGACCCCCTGTGTACTATGTAGACTCCACTCTCGTAAAATTGGTGATTTAGATGCTACATCTGGTTATTTATATTAAGTGTATTTGTACTGTGTGATTATGTGTAGATCTACGGTTTAAATATATATATATATATATATATATATATATATATATATATATATATATAGAGAGAGAGAGAGAGAGAGAGAGAGAGAGAGAGAGTGATGGATGAATATGAAAATGGAAGAAGTCACAAGTTTATGTGTGAACATGTGTATATATCTATTTATGTAATATATAAGAGTAAACCCTTATAGCTTAAGAAATCGACATGTGCTGAACGTTAAATAAACTTGTTATTATTTCCTGTGATGAAAATTCAGTTGTCGAATATCTTTTTTTAAGAAATCAACAAATATATCACTTTCTCTGCACATATTATTGTAATTCAAAGTCCACAGCTGTACTTAGTTGAAAATTCGTTGCCCCGGCGATAGTATCATTTTAGGATCGAACGTTGCTTTCGTTTGTCGAATGATTTTCCATTTCGATCCGTAATGTTTTATCCAATCTTGCTTCGATTTGTACTGTGTCAAATACTGCTTTACGTTGACGCCCGCCTTTTTGCATAGTCCCAGAATCCGATTGTTGAATTTATCGTAAATATGATATTTATCGTGTCCGGTCGAATGCAAAAGTCCAAGCATGTAGAAGACCTCTTCATCTGGTATTACTGCTGATATTCTATTATCCCATCTGCATATATATAACATTTATATACTTTATTAATTAGCAAATAGCATTTTATAAGGGGGAAAAAATCATTAATTGTAATTAAAATTAGTACTTATTTCGGTTAAGTGGCTAGAAAAGAAAGTGGCCAAATGTCTCGTTGAGCCGGGGAATCATGGTTGCCAAAACTCGAGCGTTAAAATCGGAAATTCGCAACTTTGGTACGAAGAGATGTGAGTCCGTTAATTTTCCTTTCGGAACATTCGTGTCTAAATCTCCGACTCGATTAAGGAAGTCGAAAAACGAGGCGTCTTTAGTGAAAATGAATCCAGGAATGAAATTCAACTCTTTCAGCAACTTCTCAAACTCCTGAAGAAATGAAATCATATATTTAAGATATAGATAATAACATGTGTTATATTAGTTAATTATGAAAATTTATTGTATAAATAAATATAATTAATTAAATACATGGTCAATAGTTTGAGGAGTTTGATTGTGGTAGTATTTGACCAATTCAATGGAGTAGAGGATTGCTTTGTTCTTCTTGAACAATGAAACGACGTCGGATTGGTTGGAGGGAGATGAAAAGGAAGACCTCCATTGACTTGTTGTGTTCTCATTTGTGATTAGGAATCCCTCCACATAGTTTGAAGCTTTGCTTGAGATTAGATGCCCTTGGTCTTTGGTCAACGTGCCAAAATCACTATACAACAATCTCACCCATTTTACCTATATGGTAATATATATAACAAAATAATTATTATTAACTAATCAATAAGTTGGATATATTAATCCAAGATTGTTTTTTTTATTTTTTATTTTGATTTTGATCGTAGTATATTTTAGGGTAAATTATGGTCGGACCCTTGAGATAAAGTCAAATTACGAAAAAACTCCTCGTGTTTGGGTAATTACAATCGCTCCATCTTGCGGTGTGGACTATAGTGGATATTCTAGATTATGAGGAATATTCTCGTGTTTGTACCCGTTTTGCCCAATTCGAGCACCACAATCTGAAACAAGATGATCATAAGATGTGTGTTTTGGCTTGTACATATCAGATTGTGGTGCATCAGAAATTGCATTTCTGCACAAAATGTACAAACTAGAGAACATTTCACAAATTTTTAGAAGATTCTGTTGAATTTGACACCATAAAAGTTAACGTGTAAGTATATTCATAGTTGTGGGATGCTTGTAATTTGACATCATGTGAGGGGTTTTTCGTAATTTAAAGCAGGAACCTATATTTGAGAACTTACTCTTGTAGGTGGTTTATGAAGTACGATTCTTGCTCTTGTGATGATGCCAAATTGACCTAAACCACCTAAAACTCCGAAAAACAGCTCCTGTTTCCTATTCTATTCTTTGAGCAAGTTACGAATTCCCCTTTCCCTATTCAAAAGGAGCCAAATACTCATTTATTATTTAATTATTAGTTACGTATTTACAAATACATTACACCTTAGGGTGAAAATTGGACGGGTCGGAAATCAAAATTTCGGTAATTGGTATGAAAACAACTGATCCAAATTCTGAAGTTTTCGAATCAGCATCGGTGGAATTCAGAAAATTCCAAATTCTAGTAAATAGAATATAAAATAAATAATAATTTTGGTATTATAATTGTATTTGTAGGGGGGGGGGGGGGGGGGGGTGGGGAATGGAAATTTCGCAAAGTAAAATCGGATCGAAAATCGGAATCTCACATCTATTTCAATTCCGATCAAAAAATATCCGGAAAAGTCAGAAACCGAAATTTTGAAATGAAAAGTATAGTTCAAAAATCAAAGAATGTGGGATCAAAATTTGTCGAAATCGGAATTTCTGCCCCGATCTAATTTAAAGCCCGATTACACATAAACATCACAAAATCTATATATGTATGAAAAACACGAAAATAGTGTGAATTATACCTGTAACAACATCAAGTTCAAGAACATTGTTGATTTGAGGGCCATGCACAAAAGCTTGTCCACTAATCCCAGCACTAGACAGTGTTCCTCCCACAGACGACAAGTACAAGTAATCCGTCCAAGAAACGGGCGCAAGCCCGTGTTTAAGCGTGGCCCGCAAAACATCGATCCACAGCTGATCGCCCCCCACATCTGCATATGCACTAATGTTACTAGTGCCGTAATTAATTACGCTAACCCCACCTCTCAAAGAAGGCATATCCACCACCACCACACCGCCACCACGTGTCATGGCCTGACCCCTAACGGAATGGCCGCGCCCTCTGGCGGCAACTGATGAAGGGATTTCGTGTCCGATGTTTCCTTAGTCGTTGATGCTCTTTGGGTGGCGATCGAATCGTTCCTGAGCGTTGGATTTGCTGCATTAGTGCAGATAAAACAGCTGATGGTTATGATCAAGAAGAACAATAATGCAGAGATTTATTGTAGAGGGGTAGAACTAGGGTTTTCCATTTTACAATTTTTATTTTTATTTTTTTATTTTAGGGGTGAAATTAAGCTTAATTTCTATATTTGGTGATCAGAGGATTTATGTAATGCTGGAGAATAAATTGGATCCCTTAGATTTTAATATATTACTTACTAGAATAAATTATTCAAGCTAGACTGAAAATAATTTATTTTATTGTTAATTATGATGATCAGTCTAGCTAATTATATATGAATTTTAAAAAATAATTGCTTATATCCTATTATTAATTGGATTAATATTCCTTGGTCAAAAAACTATTAATTTACTTGGTAAACTATTATACATTACTAGTATATCATGAATAGTGTCCTCTTATACATGCAATATATTTATTGGTATATTTAAAATACATTTAGCTACCTATAATCGAAATTTAACTTCAGTCACATTTTAATTTTGGAAAATTATTTCTGAATTTCAGTAAAAAAATTTGAAAAATTACACCTCTGGTATATCAATTTTTTACATTTTATATTCTAGGTTAATAAAAGAAATTACGACATTCTATTTCCATCGGTTTTTATTTTTATTTTTGGAATTTCGGTTCTCGAGTTTTCGTATTTTTGGCAACTAATTGGATTTTTTTGGAAGTTCGTATTCTGATCCGATCAGTTTGATTTCCTATAATGGCAAATTCAATTTAATTCTGGGTAGATATTAAAATAATAATTAAAATAAAATAAAATGAAAATGGGCCAAAACTGAGTTAAAGTTAGTGCACCTACACCCTGCCCATTGGATCACTACAATCAAGCCCATAATTGTGGTTAAATTGGGCCTTTGACTTACATGTTATGTATTTAACGTTTTTCCTAAGCTCTCGTATCCTAGTTTTTGAGATATGTTGGCTATGTTTGTTAACCTTCTCAAATTCTTTTCATCTATATAATATATAAAAGTTGAATTGCATAGCTAATTGATTGACATTTGGCAATTTCAATTGATGACATGTCTTCAATTTCATCCCAAGTGGCGAATTGGTTGGTCGAAATAAATCATCAAAAAACATGTCATCATTTTCCAAAATTAAAGATAGTTAAATATGTTTAATTATTTTATTAATATATTTATATCCTACCATATATAAAATGCTCTAAATATATCAACTTTTTTGAAAACCCTAAATAAATTTATTTTTGAATTTAATTTTATAAATAATTTAATTTTAATTTAGTTAAATTCGATTTAAAATCTTCTCTTATTATAATTGGATGATTGGTGGTGTTACGAATTTTTTTAATTTTAATTCATAAACTTGGATTTATATTAAAACAAATATTGTAGAATAAATTATTTGATATTATACATTTTACATGAACATGACTAGAGAATATATATTTTTTTTTACTAATTTACTATTATATATTAATATTATCTATAAAAAAAGATAGATATGTGTTTGAATTTACTATCTTGCGAAAATTGACACCATTTGTTATGCCATGTGTAGAGTAATATACTCCCACTTATTTATCATATTGAAAATTATACTACATGAATTTCATGTTAT